GCTCCGCGGAAAAGTTGAACTCCTTGTTTGTGAACTTCTTTTTCCACCGAGTCCAGGCCTGAGACGCACGCACACGTAGCCTTGCAGCCGAGAGGGACACGCCTCACAGGCCTGTAGGAACGGGTGAGAGAAATCCCAGTATTAGGGTAGGAGTAGAGACATCGACCAGCCCTAGAGGCGGCTGACGGGGGCTACCTGCCGCCTTTTTGAACACCCCTAAGTTAGACCGTTCCACTTCCCTTTACAAACTGATTTAATAGGCAAATGCTGCTTTGAGAGGAATAATATCATTGAATTTAAGGAAAATCCTAATATAAAAGAAATAGTAACAACTGAGGTCTAAAGACAATAACAAACTGCTCTCAAACTCCCCCAACGCGGGGGCGGGGGGGGGGAGGGGGCGACTCCAGTTCAGAGTCCTAACTGGTGACAGGTTACACAAAATTGTCAAGGATTCTTTTTTTTTAACACAATATTTGTATTCATTGTATGAGAATTTATTGCAATGTAATTTGATATTCACCCCCCAGTCCTCTTCACCGGTACCCACCTCAAGAGTTCGGCATCATTCACCAAATCAACTAAAAGCAATCTAGAAACCTTAAATCTGAAGCCGGTCTCCTCATGCTTGCTAATGTGCTGCAAAGTGAGTCCCACTGTGTATCCCGTCCTTAGTCTGAAGTATTCAAAAAGGCTTTCTTTGAACCAAGCAGACCTTGTTTGTGTCCGACCCCAACACCATGTCTCTATCGCACAGCAGAAGAAACAGCAAAACACCCATGCCTGACAAAGACTGCAGAGGATGCCTTTTCTCTTGTAGAGGCGACCTGTGTTGCTGGTGGTGTTATTTTCTTAGACAGGAAACAGTGCGGATGCACCCAAACATCCAGGATGCCACCATGATTGTAGCAATAGTAAGGAACACTGACTGTTAGCGGCAGAGGGTTGCAAGTCAGGGGTGCTTATTGGGTCTGAGAGCCCTAAAAATAGAGGTAGAGGCAAATCAGTGTCCTTGGCTGAAGATCTGCTATGTTATCACGTTTCTCAATTCATTTTTTAATTAAAGAAAAACTCACCAGTATTTTGTGAGTTATTAAGGAAATAGTTAAAAATTACAGAACAATTCGTGGCTATCTTCTATTTTTTTTTTAAATTTTAGATGGCAATAATCTTTACCCTAAAACTACCAGTTCATGACAGGGGCCAAGTAAAAAGTTTGATGGATACTATACAAGTTTTTAAGAATTATAAAGGACACAGTTAAGACAGCACTGAATTAGAAGGTTAGATTTCCACAGAAAATGTAACTTTCAGTTGCTATGTAGTAGGAAGATTTTTCTTGCTGTCCAGGTATCGATTCCACTTTGTTATTAGGCCTCCTTACATCAAGGGCTAGTCTGGTTTCTTGAGCTGTCTCATGCTTGCCAACCTAAATATTTAAACCCAATTAGCATTTGGGTTTAAAGTTTATGGGTAGGGCACATAAAATCAGCTCTAAACAAACAAACAGGGTGGTTATAGGATTCTCCAAGAAATTCTAAAGATCCTAAGTTTCTATTTTGCTATTAACTGAATGAACAAAGCTCCTTTATGTCCCTCTAAGTAAATCAAACAATTTAAACTGGTGGAATCTCAGAGAAGCTTCTAAATCTTCCAAATTTATGCTCTGCACCTGTTACTGTTTCTGTAATTTCAAGTGTTTGTAAATAAAACAAAGTATTTATTTCTGACATTAAAAAAACTGACCCTAAAAACATTTTGTATTTTAAGAGAATCTTGTACCTTATGGAACGCATATTTAACGTTAATGCATGTTTTGGTTATTTACTGAGTGGAAAATATTAACAAATATCGACATATTGAGACCTGGATTTGTAAAACACATCTTCGGTCTTTGGAGTTAGTAATATCAGGGCTATCACAAGAGAAAGGAAATTACTGGTGCCTGACTATATTTACTCAAATGACATTTTCAAACGCTTGGCATAAAAGGCAAATCCCGAAAGGCCAACGAAAAGCGAACTATTGAAATGTTAACTATATAGAACCCTTAGCTAATATTTTCTTCTTTCAAAAGCTAATGTCCACCGAAGAGGAAATTTATCGAAGGTAAATAAAGGCTTTTTCCCCCTTTGAGGAGAAGGGAGGGGGAGGGGAAGAAGAGGAGAGGGAGGGACACGCGACAAACGTAAAAGAAACTGGTGGCATTCAGTCAAGAAGGCAGGTAACGCTGCAGAGGCCGGCGAGTTGCTCGAGTCAGCTGGGCGCTCCAAAGCTTTCCGCGTGGGAGCGGTTTCTCGCCCCTTGGCTTTCTTCCTTAAACTTGTACCGGCGAGCGAGGAGTGCGGCAGGAGGGAGAGTTTTCGCTGTTGAGAATGGCAGGTAGGAAAGGGAATCTGATCCGCCCCCAAAGGCAACAATTAAAGTCTTAACCTCTACCCATCTGTCGTGGGACAGGGACACCCCCGCCCTGCGGCCTTTCCTTAAGCAATTCGGGTTTCGCACCCTTTGTCTGATCAGGGTGAAGGACCGAGGTTCAGAGGCCCTAAAAACATATCGAACGAACATTTCCGGTTGAGGGAAATTGAGGCCAAAAAAGGCCTCCACAAAGCCTCCCGGGTTTGTATGGATTTTGTGTAGCCTCTTCCTCTCTGTACCGGGTGTCTCGCCCGGGACTCCTGCTCCTCTCTGCTTCACCGGTCTTCCAGAAGCAGCCTGGATACCTGAAATGAGACACTCCCTGGCCTAGCCACTAAGGCGGGCCTCCAACAGCCAGGTTTTCCCACCATCTGGCTTCTTAGCCGCCGCAACTTTCAAAAAGACTTCTGCCGGCCCTTATTTTTTTTTTTTTTTCCAGCGATTATTTCTCCGGCTTCCACTCTGCGGTTCTGCCTCACTGTCAGGTCTCAAACGACTCGCTCTTTTGGTTTCCAGCCCATTGGTTTTTCCTGGCAGTGGCTAAACTGGCTTATGCCCGGTCAGGTGGGGCGGAAAAGCCTAGGTCCCTGGATTGGATTAGAAAGGGGGTATGGCGGGAGAAATACTTGAAAGCCAGTTGCCTCTACTTGAACCCCATCTTGGCACCTTTAAGTAAATTGGCCTGGGGCTCAACCGTCCAAGGCTCCCACCTCCAGTTGCTGATCCTTTCCAGGGCTCCCACCGGGAGGACAGCACAGCACACTCTTGGTCAGATACCTGGGCACCCAACCCACACACATTAGAGTAACTCACCAGGCGGGTGGTGCTTGGAGTTTGCCTCCAGCTGGTGAGGCTCGGGGCTCACAGCTCAGCGCTCCTGGGGGCGCAAGCTTGAGAAGCGCGGGGTTTGCCTGCTACCTACAGCCTCTGGAGCACGCCTAGCCCCCCCCCCCCCCGGACTCTGCTCCTCGCGACAGCAGGCTCTGCTCCGACTGCGCGGGGGAAGGCGGGCGCGCTGCTCTGCTCTGGCTGGGGCTGGAGCCCCCAGGAACCCGCTCGCTGGGAGCGTCAGCCTCCGGCATCTTCACGGAAGCCTCACACAGCTCCTGCAGCTCAAGCCCAGGAATTTGGGCCCAGGCGTCACAAACAGAAGGGCGCCAGAGGCCCGGGGAAGAGTGTGTGTGTGTGGGGGGTGGTGGTGCGCTCATGGTCGCCGAGCGCTCTTTGGGGGCCACAAATGTGGCTGTGATCACCACTTGGGGCGGACGGTTCTCTTAGTTCGTCTTTACGCCCAGACACACTAGGTGTGACGGACACTCACTGCTATTGAGGCATGCAGACACTGGTAGCCGTGGTGGGGATCGCTAGGTTCTATTTTCCCTCTTGGCTCAACATTTAGAAAGCTCTGTCAGAAAGAGCCGGGGGCGCAAGTTCTTTGAAGAAATGCTTTTTCGGGACTCTCTCTGGAAACTCAAGGGAGCGCGCTCTCGCGTGGGTTTGTGTGTGAGTCCGATCCGTGTCTAGGTTTCTTGTGGCGTGACACCCGCTCATTCCTTGTAACTCCTCAACTTTGTGGGGCTAGTGCGTCTTTCCCAGGACTATTGCCATGGGCGTCGCTTTTACAAAACCACAAACACATAACAAGCCTCCCAAGGCCTTTACATCTCAGGGGCATTTTGGGAGGCCAGTTACCTGCTGGTGTCTTCCAAAGGGTCCAAACGCGGTTCGAGTTGTAGAGACTCCAGGATTCAGGAAACGAGCAGCCCCCACCCCCGGGTCCTGGAGGGCGAAAGTGGGTTGCGTAGGAGGCAGCGTGGAGGATCTGGGCTCAGCCGAACCAAGCAAAGAAAACTTGGCTTTTGCCGTCAGAGGCTTCCTGGTCATGGCTTTCTAGAGCCTGGCGTTTGATAAATATAGCCTGGCTTTTGCCCCTGAATTAGACTCTGTTTCCTTATTTAGCCCTAGCACAATGATTTTAGATGATGTCACTTAGAGCTAAACGAGAAAATTGATCTCAGATTTGCTTGGCCTCTAAAGCCTGGTTAAGCAGATTGAGAATTAAAAAGACAGAGGAAGCAAGGGGGAGGGGTGACTGAAGAGTAGAGAAGTGTGTGCGGGCTAGTGCTTGCGTGTAGGGGAGGGCACTGCGCATTGCGGAGAGCGCCCCCGCCTCTTCTGGGCGGGGGAACCTCTCTCACCAATGAAAAGTAGTCACTGACTGCAGAGAAAAAAAAAGTTTTCCTGTTGACTGTTGGAAGCGAATTGAGCAATTATCTAGTTTACCTTCTCCTCTTGGAAGTTAACGATTGGCGAGATCTTGGCTGCGTTATTGACACAACACTTTCTATTGATAGAAATAAGTAGTGATTGTCCCCGAGTCATTGGTGCGCCAAGAACTCTGCGATGGGCTGGCAGGAGTCCATTGGGCTGGGCAGGCAGGTTCGACTGGTGATGCTGGGGAGGAGGAGGAGGAGGCTGCTGGTGGTGACGGTGCCTGTCCTCTCCGCAGGTCTGTGACAAGCAGGGGACAAGGCAACGACCGTGCAACCCAACCCCGGAGGACGGAAGCTGGAGACTCAGTCATGGACAGTAGCTGCCTCAACGCGACCACCAAAATGCTAGCGACTGCTCCAGCTCGGGGCAACGTGATGAACACATCCAAACCCTTGGCTTTCTCCATCGAACGAATCATGGCGCGCACCCCAGAGCCTAAGGCCCTGCCGGTCCCCCACTTCCTGCACGGAGCCCTGCCCAAAGGAGACCCCAAGCACTCCCTGCATCTCAGCTCGTCGATCCCCTGCATGATCCCTTTCGTCCCCGTGGCGTACGACACGAGCTCCAAAGCCGGAGTGACTGGCTCCGAGTCCCGCAAGCCGAGTCTGGAGGCTCCGGCGCCGCCCGCGGTGCCCTCCGCGCCGGCGTTCAGCTGCAGCGACCTGCTCAACTGCGCGCTAAGTCTCAAGGGCGACCTGGCCCGCGACGCGCTGCCACTGCAGCAGTACAAGCTGGTCAGGCCGCGTGTGGTCAACCACTCGTCCTTCCACGCCATGGGCGCCTTGTGCTACCTGAACCGAGGTGATGGCCCGTGCCACCCGGCTGCGGGCGTGAACATCCACCCGGTGGCCTCCTACTTTCTCAGTTCCCCTTTGCACCCACAGCCAAAAACATACTTAGCCGAAAGGAATAAACTGGTTGTCCCGGCGGTGGAGAAGCTCCCTTCGGGTGTAGCTTTCAAAGACCTGTCCCAGACTCAGCTGCAGCATTATATGAAAGAAAGCGCCCAACTCTTGTCTGAAAAAATCGCATTCAAAACCTCGGATTTCAGTCGCGGCTCTCCTAATGCCAAACCCAAAGTTTTCACTTGTGAAGTCTGTGGAAAGGTATTAAGCAAAAACGACTTTCTTCCTCCCTTCCCTTCCCTTCCCTTCCCTTCCCTTCCCTTCCCTTCCCTTCCCTTCCCTTCCCTTCCCTTCCCTTCCCTTCCCTTCCCTTCCCTTCCCTTCCCTTCCCTTCCCTTCCCTTCCCTTCCCTTCCCTTCCCTTCCTTTTCTTCCTCCCTCGATCCCATTTTAGTATTTTGAGAGTGGGGGTAAAACTTCTTTTTCTCCCCTTTCTTCCTCTGTCCACTTCGAATTCGAATCTCTTGGTCATCTAACCTGTTTCTATGTGTTTGTTTTTAAGGTCTTTAACGCGCACTATAATTTAACCCGTCACATGCCGGTGCACACAGGAGCCAGACCCTTCGTTTGCAAAGTGTGTGGCAAAGGTTTCCGGCAAGCCAGCACCCTTTGCAGGCATAAGATCATTCACACGCAAGTATGTTCCTCTGTATAATTTTACCCGGTAGAGTTCGGAACTGTTTGCTCCCCACCCTCCACCCCCCAAAAAAAGCGATCGGCAGGCAGAGCCTCGCTCTTAAGCAGAAGATCTGTTGAACTGTGCTGGCTGGACCGGGGAGATGTTTTGTATTGTTGCCTTTGTTCTGTTTTAAAGCTTCGGGGTGTTAGTGTATTGTGCTGGTAGGACTCCGCATCAAAATAACAAAGTGCCTCAAATTAAAGGCTCTATTCTTTCCTTTCTCTCTGCTGCTTAGGAAAAACCTCACAAATGCAACCAGTGCGGTAAAGCATTTAATAGAAGTTCCACGTTAAACACACATACCCGGATCCACGCGGGCTACAAACCATTTGTGTGTGAATTCTGTGGCAAAGGATTTCATCAAAAAGGTATTGAACCCAGGAGATGACTTCTCATATTGGGTCTTTGGAAAGCGGGATTGAATCTTCTCGATTCAATCTTGAAAATGACCTGTTAGGTGCTTACCTAAGGAAGGCTGCATTCTGACTCCCTACCCTCGGGTCTGACCAGAGTTAGAAAATACATATTTGACACACCAAAGGGTACTTCTTTGTAACCTCCTGTTTTCGTTTAGTGTAATTGGATAAATGAATGTATATGAAATGTAGAAGAAATAAACTCAGTGTGCTCAAAAATAAATGCAGGAGAACCAGCGCCCTGCACCCTGGGTCAGAGCTGTGTTAGCTCTTCAGCCGGTCTCCTTACCTTGTATGCATCTTCTATCTTCTTGTCAAGCTCTATTCTGAACCTTATCCCGGCTATTTTTCTCTTTCAGGGAACTACAAAAACCACAAGTTGACCCACAGCGGGGAGAAGCAGTTCAAGTGCAATATCTGCAACAAGGCTTTCCACCAGGTGTATAACCTCACCTTCCATATGCACACTCACAACGACAAGAAGCCTTTCACCTGCCCCACGTGCGGCAAGGGCTTCTGCAGGAACTTTGACCTCAAGAAGCACGTTCGCAAGCTGCACGACAGCAGCCTGGGGCTGACCCGCACTCCAACTGGGGAGCCAGGCAACGATCCGCCATCCCAGCTGCAACAGCCTCCGCCTGCACCTCTGCCGCCACTGCAGCCGGCGTTGCCGCCTCCCGGGCCTCTGCAACCCGGGCTTCACCAAGGCCACCAGTGATGGAGGCCAAAGATCCTTCACAACCCCAGCGGGAAGGCCCCCACTGCGGAGGTCGGCAGACTAGGGTGGACCGCTTGGTCTAGGCTCTCGTGCAAAAATCGGGGCACCTTGAGCCCTTCACTTTCGGGCAGACCAGAAGCCTCTGCATTCCTTGGCCTTTCGCCTCTTGCATGCACCTGCTAAATGGTTTTGTGTATTATATTCGATATAGGCACTAACAATTATGATACATTTGGAGGGGCTTATTTCAATTTTTTTAAGTTGAAATGACTTTTCATCTCGGGTGGAGAGATGATGTTTGTTTTGTTTTGTTTTTAAACATATACCTGCTGTATTTATTGAGATCTGTATTATTCTACCCGGGAATGCTGCACCATTTTAATTTTATTATTGTATATATTTCCATTGTGTCGATTCTGCTGTCTCAAAATGCCTGCTGGTTGTTCATAATTTTCTCCTTCCCTGAAGCAACGAAACACGGTGTGTATGTTCTATATACACACGGATGTGTGTGCCCGTGAAGGCACGTCCAGTGTTTGTGAGCACATACATATACACACACATAACATTAGATAAGAGTGGTTCATTATGAATGAATTTGAATTTTGGTTTTGATTCTTGCACGTCGAAGTTGATTCATTGACTGTTGGAAATAAATACTTGGAACATGCTTATTTAATCAGCAAACTTCAAGACTTTGTATTATTCAGCTAAAGATCCCTGGCTCCGACTTTCTCACCCATACTCATGTTTTTATGATTAATAATGCCTACTCATTTGTTCTGAATATTTACCATATGCAAGCAGCCTGCTCTATGTTTTGGGCAAGGTTATGAAATATGGTTAAACTCTGAGACCGAAGATGTGTGCCTGATAGATTTGTGGTACAAAAGGTGGGGACCTTGCATGTAGAGGAAGTGTTGTCCCTCTCCAGCATTCTGAAGACTCATACTGACTGGTACACAGCTGGCAAAGAGAGCCTCCGTGTTTTTAGATGTGTGCACATGTTTATAGCCGAGTATATTTCCATTCAAAGAGGAGACATGGATGAAAACCAAACCGTGGCGGGCGCCAGGTCCTTGAAACGCTTCAAGTGTTAATCAGCAGCTCCGCTGTGCGCTGGCGCTCTGGTGTTTTCTAACTGCAAGTCTCTCCTGTTTTCTTGCCAAAACAGTGAAACAACTGCTAAAGACTTTAATTAAGAGGGGTAATTAGTTCAGATTTATCAAAGCCGGGTTGTTATACTATTAGCTGCTCAGTAGAAGCTGCCAGACAAACTCACAGCCCTGCATAGAAGTCCTGGTAGCGAGCCTCGTCCTGGGGGTGAGGCTGCTGGGGGCGGGAAGGTAGGGTAACTACAGGATTCCCGCCGGGCACCAGCCCGCCCCCCATCACAGTCCCCGCCGCCTGGTGCTGCCCCCCCCCGTCCCCCAGTCCCCCAACTCCAGAGCTGCTGCCCGGGCCGTGTGTCCAGAAAATCCACCCAGTTTTCATAGGGCAGACTCAGTCTCCTGAGAGCCAAGCACTTTCTTCTCCTGCCTGGAGCAGGATGACCTTGCCAGTCCGGAATCACCCGACAGCTGCTGAGTAGCATTCGTGCCTCACTTTTGATCATCACGTAGCCCACTAGAAAAAGATGGGTAGGATGGGTCCGTGGGGCGACAGGCCACGAGCGGGTGGAAGACGAGCAGAGGCCCACCGCAAGGCACAGCATCAACTTTCTAGGTTACTAGAATTCTAACTTCAATCAAGGCCGCGAAGGGTACACTGCTCTGGGTGCCCAGAATGGGCTAGGAAGGAGCTGGAAGATGACAAAGGCGCCTGCGGGTCTTCTTAGCGGAAGGGGGTGTGAGAATCCCACTGGGACTCACTAACGTGACTGGTCCTGGAAGAGAGGTGGGAGGGGGAAGTGCTGGAGCGAGCTGCAGCCGCAGGGTTCCTGAGAAGGGCAGCAAGGATTTAAGGTTTGGTTCGCGTTCCTGGGGCTTGCGCCAGTGGGCACATCCAAATGCAAGTGTGAACAAGTTAACATCATGAGATCAAATCCGGACTTTTATCTCCCCGTCTCTTCACACCCCCACATTGTTCTTTGTCAACAGACTTTGGACCCATGTTAGATTTGACTTCGGAAAGCATGAGAATTCCAGTTAGATTCCGTATCTTTATGAATATGACATCCGACTTGATCTCCTCGTTCCAAACCCTGACCACATTCCCTTATAGTTGCCTGTGCAGCAGTAGAAACTGTGTTGAGAAATGTCTCCTAGGTGACAGGCAACTGCCTTTTCAAAGTGACTTCCTTGGTTCCTGAAACCATTCGTTCCTTTGAGGACGAAGAACGAGTTCAGAGGTCGTTATGACTTGCAATGTATATATTTTAAGTTCAAGGGCAGAACGGAGCCTTTGCTTCTTGAGCTTATCCTCAATTAGCATTCAGACTTAGTCTCAAAACTTAGGGTGAAATGTCCTTTAGACATGCAAGGCGATGCCATTGTTATGAGGTGGAAAAGCAAATGAGCATTGTTGAGGAAAGTACCTACACCACAGAATACTTATTAGGAGGCATTTATATGGGCATTTCCATTTCCTAACCCATGCCAGAATGCTTTGATATACTAAATAAAGACGTGCCTCACCAAAGATTTTTTTGTTTGTGATGTTGAAAGAAGAAACGGGAGAAGGATGGGGAGGGAGATAGATGGGGTGGGAAGAAGGCATGGGGAAAGGAGAGGGAACAAGGAGGTAGGGACAGGAGAAGGGCAAATAGAATGTAGGTGCTACAGTGGGGTCCATAGCATGAAGTGACTTTGTCTAAGGTTGGGTGCGGATGCTGCAGTGTTTCCAGTGAGGTTTACAGGGGAAATGGTTGTCATTTACTAACAGAAGCCTGGAGTGTTGGTGATTACACAGAGGAGGTCCAAAGGAAATCCTGTAAAACTGAGCACTCAAGAGAAGCACTTGTCAGGAGATCAGTGAACTTTGATTTTTGACAAAGCTCTCCGAGAGTGCTATGATCAAGGAGTACCCCTTAAAGATAATATGAGCTCGGGGATTCAGTTTATGGGGGCGAAGGGTAAAGTGGGACACTTAACAGATCGTCAATGGAAGACCTCACGGTTCTTCTGCTTCTGGTAAATATTAAAAGGAGATGCCCTTGCTTGACTATCTAACCTCTATTCATTTGAACTTACATAGATTTTAGTGCTTGTTCATAGAACACAAACCCTAAAATGTATATGCTGCAGAATTTGATCTTTTCAAAGCCTATCTTCATTAGGTTTTATATTAGCCAGTAAATTCTTTCATATTTCCTGAAAGGTAAGGCCAGTGTTCAGATTTTAAAGTAGAAAAATGGCTTCTCTTCATTTTGGTCCAGAGGAAGATAGTTTAGGCAGATGCTGGGATGAACTTTTAAAGTTGTGATCCACTGGGATTATATGTTTTTGCTTAGTTTTTAGAAATCAAAATATTAGAAAACAGAATTAGCAATGTAAGTAATTAAATCCTACCTGCTTAATATAGAACCCAAACTGAGATTTCTAACAACGTCTTACTAAGTATAATATTTTCCCCAGGTTTCCAAAAGTATAACTTATGAACAAGTTTCTCTGCAAAACTGGGGTTGAATACTGGTAAAGCCATTGCTTGTGGCTTGTTAGTGATGTCTGAAGTTTCACTTCTTATGGAACACAGGCATGATGATGCACACCCTTAATTCCAGCACTAGGCAGGCAGAAATAGGTAGAACTCTTCTGCTTGAGTTCTTGTCCAACCTGGTCTATATAGAGAGTTCAAGGTTGGTCAGGAATACAGACGGCAACCCTGTCTCAAACAAACAAGCAAACAAACCAACAACAACAAAGCAGAAAAAAAATACCTACCATGCAGAGGAGTCTTAATTTCTAGAATCTGTGCATCTTTCTTGATAGATTTCACCTTTATGTAAGTTATATAAGGCATATTAAGTTCGCTAAGACTGGCAACAGCTTAAAGACCTGATCAGTATATAACTGTAATGGGCCTGTTTTGTGTTCATAAAAATACCACAAAACATACAATTATAAGTTATACATGATCTCAAATCCAAAACTGAGGCAGACAGAAAAAAATAAAGTTTTCTTTTTCACATTCTAAGCTCTTCTATTGGATGAATCTTTATTCACTTAATTTTGTTTGTGAGGTTTGCTTTAAGGTACGATTGCTTGTTCTGTTACCAGAGTGCATTGTAAAGAGCTTGGAAGTAAATCTGAATCCTAATTGGGTAAGAGTATGCAGCTGCTGGATCTCAAAAGAAGTAATTGTTGAACCTGATAAAATAACATTTTTTTTTGCTGTGCTTTGTTGAAATGAAATTACTTTTTATGCTGGTTAGTTTATGTCAACTTGACACAAGCTGAAGTCGTCTGAGAGGAGGGAACCTCAATTAAGAAAATGCCTCCATAAGAAGCCACAAGCAAGTCTTCAGGGCATTTTCTTAATTAGTGATTGATGGGGAAGGAGGACCCAGCCCATTATGGGTGGTGCCATCCCTAGGCTGGTGGTCCTGGGTTCTATAAAAAAGCAGGCTGAGCAAGCCATGGGGAGCAAGCCAGTAAGCAGCACCCCTCCATGGTTTCTGCATCAATGTCTGCTTCCAGATTTCCGCCCTGTTTGAGTTTCTATTCTGACTTCAAATAATGGTCTACAACATGAAGTGTAAGCCAAATAAACTCTTTTCCCCCAACTTGCTTTTTGGTTCTAGTGTTTTGTTACAGCAATAGAAACCCTAACTAAATCACTTTGCCATAAGAAGTTATTTGATCTTATTAGATTAATTAAAAACTGAAAAGCAAGCTATTTGTAAGTACAGGATATTTTGCTATGAATTTCACAGTTTTAGGAATTAAAGCACATGCCTATTACAGCTCCAGAGCAAAGTAGAAACCAATAACAGTATGGCACACCTGTCAACTGGACTTGTGATTACTCCAAAATTGCCTGTTTTAGCCAGAGTAGGGTAT